TTGATAATTATATAATATCAAATATGAAATTATATAATATTTTCATGTGGAATGGATATTAGGTAATCCACTATATTTCTAATATTTCTTATTCTGTCGATCTTTATTTTCCTTTTCATTATCCGTAAAATGTAGAAAGCTTGAAATATCAAAAAACCTATCGCATGGCATAGTGCTGCCAAAAATTGGAGTACTTATTGCATACCTTTTTGACCAATACATATGCATTTTTGGCTTCTTCATTTGCAACATCAAGATGCATAATGCAATATAAGCTTTCATTTCATCAGAACTTACAGAAAACCACCTTTTTTTTTTTTTTTTTTTTTACTCAACCTTTCTTTTTCTATCACTTGTCTGGCATATCTATTCGTCTCTTCTACTGTAGTGTCCCAAAAATCTTCATTCAAGACTTCTTTCAAAACCTCTAAAGGCGTAGGATTACCCCCTAGCCTACGCAGGCTCAAAGGATTAATTCCAGATATTTCAGAAAATTTTTTTATATCGGCTACATTTTCTTCTTCCCAAATCCATTCTTCTGATACTGGTCATGAGAAGATTCACTATCACTGCTCGATAGACGTCTTGTGCGTCTTCAAATCTTATATTACAATTATATTATATTATATTACAATTATATTACAATTGTCATCGTTTTCTAGTTCAATATCATCTTCATCACCTTCGCTTTGTATTTCATTGTAATTGTCAATTTCAGGATCACTAAACAATTCTTTAGATTTCTCAAAGTCACTTTCGCTATCACTATCATACAATATATTCCTTGTTTTTGACATAATGGGGCAGTGTATTGCAAATAATGTTCACCGAAATACTGTAATTGCTTCTTCTATTATGACTGATACAAGCTACAATGAAATGAACAGAATTGTGCCTAACCTCAAATAACGTTTTAGACACGTCATCCGCTCCTAGGGGGGGGGAAGTGAATGACGTGTCTGAGACATCAAATGTACCCAAGGGGTTAATGTAACCTTAATCGAGGACATTTGGAGAGAAAGCGGTTTATAATCACGTTACACATGGGGGGGATCCTATGGAGCCTGTTTATTCGCTTGTATTGAACCTATATTGAACTATCTGTTACCAAACGAAATTGTCAAAACGAAATCTACATAACAACCGAGTGTAGCGATGTAACTAAATCCCATATTTACTGGTGTAAGGGAAGAAGCTTAAACGTCAGACGGATTATTTAATTTAGTATAATAGTACTATTTGCTGAAAAGTGATGTTTTGTGAAAGACTGACAGAACTGGCTCACATTCATGTTTTTAACGGGAAAACTACGAAAAGGATCATACAGATAGCTCATTCACCGGTATCTAAACCAAGTTGTTTTCACATGAAAAATTCAGAGTTATATATTCAATGTTACGTTCGTTGTGATCATCTGAGTGTAGTTTCTTTTTCTTTTTTTTCTTTTTTTGGCCCTTATAAAAAGGCCTTTAATAGAGACATGCTCTATTAAATTCTGATTTTGTTTTCTGATGTAAGATTAGTAATTTTTGTTTTGTTTTTGCTATTATAGGAAGGTTCTTTCATTTAATTAACTATTGTTTTTTTTTTTTTTTTTTTTTTTTTTTTTTTTTTTTGAGTTAACTGTTTTTCTGAAATGACGTGTGATAAGCTTCAAAACAGTTTATGCAGAATGCTACATCACATGCTTTACATATGACAGTTGATCTCCACTGTAAACCATTTGCAGAACAAACATCACATCTTCGTCTTTTCTTTGCATCAAAAGGGAAATGGGAGCATAGATACTTGCATTGTTTTTTTCAACTTGATGGAGACAGTGTATGAGCTGGAAGATCAGAATAATGAATCAGCTCTCTAATCAAATTCATGCGAAAAACTTTGTGATTCTTTTCAATATTGCTTATTTTGCTTAGAATGCAGATGTTTAGCACTGTTAGGTCAAGTAGATGAAAAAATAGTGTTTTCATCCACTTCAAAGTTCTTCTGCCAAAAGTATAACTATTGGCCATGCAATCGCTTGAATCAACATAGCCCATATTTTTGTTGTAACATGTTATGATCTCGGGTTTTGTCTGCTCATCGGCTACAACCATTGGATTGTGCATATTTGACAGCATGAAAACGTCACACTTATCTTTCCAGCGTAGAGCTGGCATCCCATTTGTGAAACGCGCAGTGGTTTCTCCTCTATTCAATTTTCCTTTGCTTACATCTTTGGGGAAATGCTTCCTATTCGGACGAATAGTTCCACATGAATTTATTTTATTTTCATTTAATAAATAAACGAAAGGTTCTGGCGAGGAAAAGAAATTGTCCATAAATAATTTATGACCTTTGTCTCTAATAGTGCCCACTCATTTCTTTAACGACATTATAAGACGCTGAGAAGTTGGGATCCTTAGATTTATCTTTCCCAAGGTAAACTTCGATATCATAGGTGTACCCTTCCTTATCACCGATCTTGTGTAATTTTATACCCCACTGCTTGCGTTTCTTTGGGATATACTGTCTAAATATTACTTGCCCTTTAAGTTTGACGATAATTTCATCTGTCGCGAGTTCTTCTGTGGGGCTGTAAATCTGTTTATAAGCTGTTTTTAAATGATAAAAAACTTTTTGAATTTTCCAGTCTGTCATAATTCATAATTTTATCAGGTTTTTCTTTATTGTTTTCAATGCAAAAATTTTTAAATCATTAAAAATCTGTCTCTTGACATTAATTACCTTACGAAAAATTGGTGTGTCAATTAAATCATCCGTGGGAAAAATAATCTCGAATGCTGTCTTTTTCAACATGTCCCATGAGTAAGACTAATCCAAAAAATTTCTGAAGCTCATCAGATGTAATTGCCGTCCAGTTGGTGTCATGCTTTCTTTTTCCGCTTATATCTGGGTGAAACTCTAAGATTTTAGAAGCATATCGATTAGTTTCTATGGTTAACATTTTAAACAATTCATCTGAAAAGTATAACTTAAAAAAAATCGACAGCAAGATGAATTCCTGAAAATTCAGTTTTTATGCCAGGTTCACCAATAAAGGTCAATATGTTTGCTTTGTCATGATCACTTGGCTGTCTCCATTCAAATAAATTATTAGCGTTGCTTTTGAAGTTATCGGCAACTTTATCTTCCTTAAAAGATTGATTAAAACATATTTCTTCTGTATCTGAACAGTCCGAATCTGTATCAGCAAAAGTTTCCTCTTCTAAATCTCTTAGCAACTTATTAATTTCGTCTTGACTGAGACCTTTAAATCGAGGTGCCATTATAAGAAGTGAATAAGAGCGCAAGTTACACAGAAATTACGAGAAAAAGCTCCAATGATTGAAAGAGAGATAGCATCTGTTATATTGTCAAGCACATTGGCGCGAGACGAAACCTACGGTCTTCGCCAAAACCTAGCCAAAGAGATAAGAAGTGGGAAACATTACATAGCCAGAGGCTGCTCTGAAGAGAAAACTAAACCACCTAGAGAATCTAAAGATAGGCAATTACTCTAAGGGGGAAGGGAAAGCTTGGTATAGCAGTTGTACCATAGCCGGCTTAAGAGCAAGTAAATTTTGCGGTACTACAGTTCTACCGCTGTCTTAAGAAAGTTAATGATGAAAATCCTTTCTTACACAGATACTAAGAGGAAATTGAATTAAAAAAAATTGAATTTTTAAAGCATCGTTTTTAGTTCATTATAATCTGGTTTTATTCAGAATAAAGTCCAAAAATTAGCATTAAAATCTGCATTTTAAGTTTAGTGTCATTCATGAGTTTAGTTATCCTTTATCATTCAATGATAGTTTGTTATTTTCAAAATTGCAGTGGAAAGGATCAAGAGCCTAGGAAAATTTCATTATATTTACCATTTGTAAATAAATTTTGAATTGCGATCTCAAAGTTTTGTGATGCAAGCATATATCACTTGAATTTTTTTTTTTTTTTTTTTTTTTTTTTTTTGAATAAAGATGCAATTTTCCGCACTAAAAAAGATTCTAAGGTTGGAAATGATAAAAAAATTTTCTGCTTTACACTACTAATCCACAAAGTTTCTTTTAAAATTTCTTTAATTTCCCTTAAGCATGAGAATAGTCTAAGAATTACTTTATCGACAGAGATTTATTTAACTTAATTTTGAGAATACATTGAGTTTTGAAAAAAATATGCTAGTGTACATAACCACATGACATGGCTAAGAAATGGTGAATATCTCATCGATTGTATTTGCTGATAACAGGACATTTTTGCATATCCAGGCAGACCATAAGGGAGGACACTGAGGTCCACAGTTTGAGAAATGCTGCTGTAAAGGATAACCATGATGAGACATAAGATTTTGGTCAATGGAATACTTACAAGGATTTCCTGTCAGAGTAAATGTCATAACATAATGGGAATATAACACTGTTTCTGATGAAGAGATGTTTAGTTTATTTATTGCTTTTTATTTGTACTAAGACTAATAAATATTTAATGAAAACCTTTTAAAGAGTATTTTGATATCTGATATCATAAATTGTACTGTGTTTTATGCTTTATTAATATGGTGTGCTATGATAAGTAAGTGAGGCCACTTCAGATGGTATAATATTTAGTGGAATGTCATTGAAAATCATTTTATGCTTCATGAAGCTTGAATCTTATACAAGGTATATGAATACAATGTCATAGCAGAATAAGAGCATTTAAAATCTCGCAATAAAAGTGCTTTTGAGATGTTAATGGTAGAAAAACAGGACTTCAAGTTTGTTGAGTTTCATCCCTCTAGATGCTTTTAGTCAAAATGAGATATAGCTTAGGAAGCTAACCTTGTGTGCATTTTAATTAAATGATCTAGCTCAAGATTGTCAGAAAACTTGATTTAATTTTAGGCTACTTTTCTGTTTGGTTACTTTGAAAATTTAGGCACATTTGTAAAATTAAAATGTATCTTGTATTTTAATTACATTCAGAAAAGCATGCATTTTATGTTTTTTACTAGGTAACATTAATTGTGCAAAATGTTTTAGGGCGACTACATTGATGCTACAATTGGAGTTACCTTAGGGATTTCAACTATGGCTGGTATGTCTTTCTTCTACGGATATCTGTATTTTATTTGCAGTAAATTATACAGTTTATTTTAGTACAATTTAAATTTACCTTTTTCTAATAAATTTTTAGAAACATGAATTAAATTTAAAATGGATTGAAATTATAACAGTATGCTTAGTTTTTTTTTTTTTTTTTTTTTTTTTTTTTTTTTTTTTTTAATTGGCTTTTCTGAATTATTAGCAATGGAAAGGAAATAGATTAGTTATACTTATATTCATGAGCAGTCTTTAGGATTTTTTTTCAGGTTGAAAACAAAAACTTTTAATGATATGAAATAAGCTTTGCTTAGTATAATGGAAGATTGATATTAGATATTGTTTTCAATATCCAAGTGAATAAATATATAATGATACCAAATCTTCACCGTATATTTCATGTACAAAAGGTGAATATTTATTGCTGAATGTTACTGAGAAATAGTTATTAACTTGTTATCTTGTTTCAAGATTTGGTTTTGAAACTGTATGCAAGGTTGAATAGATTTAATGTTTGGTAATTCATAGTATTTGTTCGAGAATAAACATACTCATGAAACACAAACACTAAGATTTAATGGACTGTAGCTTTATTTCTTTTAACTTCTGTTTGGATGGACACTCTTGCCATCGCATAGGTGCACCTCTCAGCACGCAATCAAGCACACTAATAATGGCCGCTAGCTAACCACGTTGTCGTTTTCTCCCATCGTGGTTGCCAGATCACTTCTGCCTTAACATACCGCCCGGGTTGGGCATTTGTTACATAGTTAACAATGACCAAAATTAAACAGTTTTAAATCACCATATAGTCCAAATCATATATCACAAAATTTAAATTGATACACATGAACAAAAGCAATAAACATAATTAACCACAGAACATGAAATGCACAACATCTAAATTAAAATACAATGCATATATATAACAATTTTTTGAACTCAGGAAATATACATGAAATTATGTAACATCTACTGGTAGTACAGCTAATTTAGTTATTGGTCTTTTTAAAAAACCTGACTTGGTTCTTACAATACAAACTCTAACCTTTTTATCCTTACCATAAATTACCTCTTCTATTTTACCCAGTAACCAAGTCGAAGTGGGCATGTTGTCTTCCTTTACTAAAACTATAGTGCCCTTTTTAACGTTATCCTTAGAGAAATACCACTTAAATCGTTGCTGTAAATGACTGATGTAATCATTTTGCCATCTTTTCCACAAATATTGCGTTACTTTAGTAGTGCGCTGCCAGCGCTTTAAAGAACTATCAGAAAAATCAGTTAAATCAGGCTCTGTTATTGATGTTAAAGGTCGCCCGACTAGAAAGTGTGCGCGGTGTAAGAGCTTCTAAATCATTGGTGTCATTTGACAAAGGGGATATTGGACGTGAATTTAAAATTCCTTCAATCTGGTTCAAAATTGTAAGAAACTCCTCAAATGTAAAAATCAATCTCCCAACTGCACGCTTAAGATAAAACTTAAACGACTTAACACCTGCCTCCCAGATACCTCCAAAGTGAGGAGCCCTGGGAGGGATAAACTTCCAATGAATTCTTTCAGATGTCAGATATTTGGTTAAGAATTCATCAGGGTATTTCAACAAATTGTAGAGTCGCTTCAATTCATTGCTAGCCCCAACAAAATTTCGAGCGTTATCGCTAAATAAGGTTGCGCATTTACCCCTTCTAGAAATAAATCGCTTCAAAGCAGCAATAAATGATTCTGTAGACAAATTTGAAACGATCTCGAGGTGGACTGCACGAGTCAAGAGGCAAACAAAAATTGCAACATAAATCTTGTGCACTACGCTCTTCTTCTGAGTTGTATACTTTATACCAAAAGGACCACAAAAGTCAACACCAGTATGGTTAAAGGGAAAGGATGGATTCAGTCTCTCTAATGGTAAATTTCCCATCTTTTGATCCAGCAATACTGGTTTTACTTTGGCACACGTAACACATTCTCTTACTATCTTTCTAGCAAGATTACGCCCACTTATCGGCCAAAATTTTTGTCTCACACTATGCAAGAGCGCTTGTGCTCCAGTATGAAAGTTTCGAATATGGTAGTGTAACATAATTAAATGAGTCAGTTTATGATTTTTTGGCAGGACAGCAGGGTGCTTTGTGTTAAAGGGTAAGTTAGCTTCCTGCAGTCTACCACCTACTCTAATAACTTGAGATTCATCTAAAAAGGGACATAAAAATTTTAACTGACTATTTTTACATACTTCCCTTCTCTTACTTAAGTTCTTGAATTCTTCAGGAAAGTTTTGACATTGGACTAAGGAAAGTAATTTATTTTCGCTTAACGAAACCTCATCTACTGTCAGATGACCTACTTGTTTTTCCTTGGATCTACAATTTCTTATAAATCTTAAAACATAAGCAAAAACATTAATTAATTTAGCATAACAATTAGTAATACTAAAAACATAATCCAAAAGAGAATTTTTAACAGTTACGGTCAAATTTACATTAGAAATAAGTTTCAGTTCGCGCACATAGTTCTCATTTGAATTTTCAAAGTTATTATTAACACTATAATTAATGACCTGTTGATGCAGAAAATTTGGTCCTTGAAACCACAAAGAGTTGTCAGCAATAATTTCCGGTCTCAGACCGCGAGAAATTAGGTCAGCGGGATTGTCTGCTGTTCTGACATGTTGCCAGCAGAAATCCTTAGTTAGCTCTTGGATACGAGCTACTCTATTTGACACAAACACTTTTAGAAGATGAGGAGATGTAGCAATCCAGGCTAACACAATTGTTGAATCTGTGTACAGAATAACTTTGTCAACATATAAACTCAAAGATGTTATTACCTTACACACAAGTTTGGAAAGGAGCTCTGCTGCACACAACTCCAGACGAGGAATGGTTATTACCTTGATAGGCGATACTCGAGATTTGCTGCAAAGTAAAGTCACTTTAACTTCGCCAATTTTAGAGACACAGCGCAAGTAAATTACTCCACCATATCCAAACTTTGAAGCATCAGCAAAACAGTGGAGCTCAATTTCTTTAATTGATTCTATTAGAGTGCAACGAGGGACTTTGATTTGTTTCAACTCTGGTAGGGCCTTTTGAAATGTCTCCCATTCTTGTCGCTCTTTGAAAGGAAGTGGATCATCCCACTCTAGATGTAAAAGCCACAGCCTTTGCAGGAATATCTTAGCACGCATGATTACAGGCCCTAGGAAACCTAAAGGATCAAACAGTTTAGCAATATCTGCCAAAACCGTGCGTTTTGTACAGATTTTTGACGAACTAGACACAGTAAAACTAAAAGAGTCTTCTTCTGGATTCCATCTTAAACCCAGAGTCTTTACGGTGCTTTGTGAAGATTCTCCAAAACGATACTCTTGTTTTTCGAATGGAACTTGTTCTAAAAGAATTTTTTCGTTTGAGCACCACTTGTGCAATTCCATTTTCGCAGATTGTAGCATGTCTATTAACTGCCGCTGCAATTCTACAGCAGAGGTGACATCTTCTGCACCAGACAAAATGTCATCAACATAAAAATCGTTGAGTGTCGTTTTAGAAGCCAATGGATACTTATCCTTTTTCATCTAAGGCTAACTGCCTTCAAACACTCTTGTTGCTAAAAAAGGCGCTGATTTTGTTCCATATGTTACCGTAAGTAATTGATAAAGTTTAGATGCATCATCATTCAACGTATTTTTCCAAAGTATGCATTGAAGTTTGCGTTGCTCAGGATCTATACGAATCTGCCGATACATCTTGCATATATCAGCAGTGAAAGCCACCTTGTGTTTTCTAAATCGTAGCAAGATAGCAAAACAGGTCATCTTGAACTACACCTCCATTCATCAAACAGTCGTTTAATGAAAAACCAGACGATGAAGGAGCCGATGCGTCGAATACCACTCGTAACTTAGTTGTACTGCTGTCTGCCTTATAAACACCATGATGAGGCATTATGTATTTAGGAGTTTCCGTCACACTCTGCATTTTTTGCATATGCCCTAACGCTTCATATTCACTCATGAACTCACAATACATCCTAGACATGTCAGGGGTTTTGTCTAGTCTCTTCCACAAATTATTTAACCGTTGGGTGGCTAATTGCGAAGAATCACCCAAATGAACATCTTGCCTTAATGGTAGCGTCACTACATATCTACCCTCAATATCCCTCTGATGGGTTTTTCTAAAATGCTCCTCACATTCTACTTCTTTATTTTTTATTTTTTTTGAGAGATTCTGTAACAGCCTCAATTTCCCAAAAGGACTTGATTAGTGAATTTAAGTCTTCTTCTTCGACTTTCATAAATCCGCACTGAATCGTATTGCCTGAATTTGAACCAACATTTACACCGGTAGCAATGTATCCAAATACGGAATTTTGAAGAGTTAAATTAGAATTTCGTGGATGAATTTGATCAGCCTTCAATAGTTCATAAAAGCATTCTGCACCTAACAAGGCATCTATTTTCTGGGGCTTGTTAAAATGAGGATCCGCTAGTTTGATCTTTTGCGGAAGCTGTGAAAATGAAAATTTAAAATAATTCACTGGTACCAAATCATTAATTTTAGGTACAACAAAGAATTCGAAGAGCACGGTGGTAATCACGCTTGTTTGATATCACAGCAGTAAGCTTGGATTTTACCGATAGAGCTTTTCCATTTAAACATGAAATTGATATGTTAATTTTACTCCCTTTTATTCCAAGCCTATTAGCGAAATCATAGGTGAAACACGAACACTGACTTCCGCAGTCAAGTAAAGCTCGACAAGCAATAAAATTCCCGCAAGAATCTTTAACATAAATAATAGCAGTAGATAGTAATACCTCCTTCGAAATCACTTGTGAAGCAGTTACAGACGAACCAATAAATTCCGAATTGTTTATTTGGTTGCAATTAGATAACATTTCAAAACATCTGGCGTCAGGGTTTAGATTCGAGTTGTCTACTAAAGGAGGGTCAGAATTATTAGCCGGTGCTTCCTCCTTCCCCACACAACTC